GAAGTTCCAGCAACAGTGATTTTATCGCTACAAATGGTTTGATAACTATTCTTACAAGCTAATGGATCTGTATTTATTTCTGTTCTGTGTGTGCTTGTTTACCTACATTCCTTCTGGTCCCCCATCATTGTAATGTTAAAATTCCCATCCTCAGGCTTAAATCCCTTTCCTTCCCTATGTCTGTAACCCCTTCCTGTAGAATCCTCTGATATTTCTGATTATCTAGTACTCTGGGCTCACATGCACTCTCCACTTACTTCACCATGTAGCTATGCCATCAGTTGTTCGAGCCTTAAACTGTGGAATTTTCTTCCCAAACCTTTTGGCCTCCCTCTCATGCTTTCTAAATAAAATCTCTTAAAACCTGGTGCGTTGTTGCTGCTGCCCCACCTTTCTTTGCCTCTCCCCCCCCTCTCTCAACAGTGCTGGGTCAAATTAGAGTATGGTTCCACACAAACTGCACCCTGATACTTTACGTTGTGACTATTCTTGTGTGAGTCCAGCCAGTGAGTTTCAGCACTCTCTGTGGAGAACCTAATCCCATTCTCACACAAGAACCCTAAATCATTTCCTGTCTCAGGTTGTTTTGTCCATTAATGTATTGGTAGGATTTGCAAGTTGAGAGTTAACTTGTTTGGTTGCATTATGAGCACACCATTCTTGGTTCATCTAGTCCTGGGTTGGTCCTGGTTCTGAGGCAGAGACACTATCCACTACAAGAACATGACTGCTCTAGTCATTGTTTTGTTCCTCTAGCCCAGGGATGTAGCTAGGAACAGAAATTGTTGATTCAGGCTTTCAAACCTTGTGCACTACTCAATTTGAACATGATTTGTAACACAAGGTACATCACCCATCACAGCTCTATAATCCCTTTATATCTTTATCCAAAAGAAATCTATTGATCTCAGTCATGGAAGTTTCATCTCTTCCCCAGGACCTTTAGCTTATTGAGAGGAAGCATTCCAGATTGCTACTTTCCTTAAAATAAAAGCAACATAAAAAACAGGGAATACTGGAAATTGGAAATAAAAACAGCAAGAGCTGGAGAAATTCAGAAAAGAAGTATGGTTGGGTAGGTGGAGGGGGCTGGTCAGCCTGGAGGGGGCAGCAAGTTTGAGATCTGTGGGAAGGAAAGGGGTGGGGTATGGTCAGGTCCAATGGTGGGAAGTGAGGGAATGTGGGGTTGTTGTTAGTTTGAGGTCTGGTGGGGGGTTTAGGGGATGAGAAACTGGAACCAAGAAGGAGGTCTGCTCAGGGTTTTGTGGGAGGTGGGGTAGGCAGGGTGGGGGCAAGTTGTTTCCTTCCAGGAGACGGTATCGGGTCAGGCTCAGGGAGCAGTAAGTGGTATGGGGGTACTCTAGTTGGGGACATAGGAGATAAATATGGGGCCAGGTTAATAGTTACTTAGGAGTTAGACCAATATTCTAACTCTTCGTGAGTAACTAGTTTACTTACTTTACTCAGATTTAAATGAAGACTTTTGGAACATTCTAGGTTTGGAGAAATTGCTGAGCAGTATCTTCAATTTCCCAGACAATTCCTGATAGGAATTCTGCAACGTACACATACAACTCCTATCTATGCTGGCATAACTACTGTCCAGCCAGTGGAAAATCTACCTCTTCCGTATCTACCCTGCGTAATCTTTTAACTTCCAAACACCTTGATCAAATTGTCCCTCAGCTTTCCATGCTCCAGTGAATACAAGTCAGGCAGAGTCTTGTTCCTAGTTGTGTTAACTTTGCAAGTGACCTAGCCAGAAGCAGTTATCTCAGCACAGTCCAGACTTGACCATAGGATCATCCTGGATTTTATGTCTGTTCATTGCATTTGTTGTTGATACATTTATGATGCTGGATCAAAGTTCTCATTCATTGTGAGTGAAACTTTAAACATTGAACACTTAATCTGCTAGTTTCCACAGGAACAAATGGGATGGTCTTTGCCTAACCATATACACCAAACCAGGTACTCATTGTTGTTGTAACTTAAAGCAGATTACATGGCACAAGCCCCGGTCTGAGTTTGACCTACAGCAATGGTGTCTTCTTCATTACTAGTGTTATAGAGTCATAGAGTCATACAGCACAGAAACAGACTCATCGGTCCAACTTGTCCATGCTGACCAATTTTCTCAAACTAAACTAGTCCCATTTGCCTATGTTTGGCCCATACCCCACTAAACATTTCCTATTCATGTACCTATCCAAATGTCTTTTAAACGTTGTAACTGTACCTGCATTGATCACTTCCTCTAGAAGTTTATTCCACATACCAGCCACCCTCTGTGTGAAAAAGTTCCCCTCAGGTCCCTTTTAAACCTTTCTTCTCTCACTTTAAAAATATGCCCCCTCATTTTGAACTCACTCACCCCAAGGAAAAGACCTTTGCTATTCACCTTACCTATGCCCCTCATGATTTTATAAACCTCTATAACGTCACCCCTCAACCTCCTACACTCCAGCGCAAATAATGCCAAACTATCCAGCCTATCCTTGTAACTCAAACACTCCAATCCCGGCAACATATTGGTAAATCTTTTTCTGAGTCCTCTCCAAATTAATAATATCCTTCCTATAGCAGGGCAACCAAAACTATTCACAATACTCCAAAAACTGCCTCCTCAACATCCTGTACAACCTCAACATGACGTCCCAACTCCTCTACTCAGTGATCTGAGCAATGAAGGAAAGTGCGCTAAACACCTTCTTAACTACTCTGTCTACCTGTGATGCAACTTTCAAAGAACAATGTACCTAAATCTCTAGGTCTCTCTGTTCAACAACACTTACCAGGGCCATACCATTAACTGTATACATCCTGCCCTTGTTTATTTTACCAAAATGCAAGACCTCGCATTTATCCAAATGAAACTCCATCTGCCACTCCTCAGCCCATTGGCCCAATTGATCAAGATCACCTTGTCATCTTAGGTAATGTTCTTCACTGTCAAATATACCACCAATTTTGGTGTCATCCGCAAACATAATAACCATGCCTCCCAAATTCTCATCCAAATCGTTTGTATAAATGACAAAGTGGACCCAGTACCAATCCCTGTGGAACACCACTGGTCACAGGCCTCCAGTCTGAAAAACAACCTCCACCATCACCTTCTGTCTCCTACTGTCAAGCCAATTTTGTATCCAATTGGCAAGCTCACCCTGAATCCTATGTGATCTAACTTTATTAATTAGTCTACCATGTGGAACCTTATCAAAAGCTTTACTAAAGTCCATGTAAACAAAGTCTACTGCTCTACCCTCATCAATCTTTCTGGCCTACGTCCTCCACAACACATTGAGCTTTTAAGAATTAACACCAGATGTACCGAATAAATGCACCAGACATGTTGGATCAGATAACTAGTTGCATATCCATTCTTAAGAGTATTTTGAGTCTGAATCTCTGCTGCTTATGACTCCATTGTTTGTAGGATGAGGGAGTCTATATAAAACAGGGATACATTATTATCTTTGCAAGTCATTTAAGAAAAATTGGTGCTGCGTAATATTACAACACAGGAATATGCTGTGCTGGGAAATATAATTACTGTCACAATGTTCAAAAAGTTATATAAGATGTCTTTCATCTGTTGGCTTGATTTATCTGTATTGATACAACCTGGTGAGTGAAAGTGATTGGCTGCCCTATCTGTAACACCACCCCACCCCTAGTAGTCGGGCATAAGCAATTTTTTAACACACGGTTATATCTTTTCAATTAAAATGTAATTCCCTAGAAAATGAGGGAGTATATTAGCAAGATTTTCTTCAGTGAAAGAGAGAGGCATTTCAGACTGTACTAAGCACAAATAAGAAATAAAAACATAATATCAAATCAAACCTATGTATAAACATCGGAAATATGTTTAAAAGGAACAGTGTCTGGTACTGACAGGAAGAAGAAATGTTACACAGTTAAATCATCCATAGAATCCTTGAGATGTTAAATTTTTAACTTGAGACCACAGTTTCATGGTTGACTTGTATCCTCAGCAGTAGAAGAATTTGTAGGACTTTGAGTAGTTGTTTCCCCAATTCGCTTTTTTGCCAGGTGTTATATTGCAAGATCATGAGGAAACAGTCAGAGAGAGAGCAAGAAAAAGAGAGAGAGAGAGAAGAGTGGTCTTGTCAAAAATTCATTTTCCTTGTTTTTGTTCTGTTGCTCAAACTTAGCTATTGGAATATAGTTCATTGTGAATTCCAGCGTCTAGTTCCATTGTCTTTCCAACTGGCACTAATATGTAAAAGTACCATACACATGTGAATTAAACAAGGGATGTGAATTTCATAATGCTGACTCAGTAGCCCCGTTTTAATGTCTTTAGATAAAATGGTAATTTCAGCAAAGATGGTGAACTGTAACTCGTGCAGTGCTGCAGTGTTCAGTTCTTGGGCCTCAATTGTTTATAATAAACATCAATAATCTGCAAGCAAGGACAGAGTGTAACATAGCAAAATTCATGGATAATACTAAAATAGGTAGGAAGCCAGGCTGTGATGAGGAGATAAAGAGTTTCCAGATGGATATTGATAGGCTAGCAGAATTGGCCAGAATCTGGCAGGTGGAGTTTCATGTGGATAAGTGCAAGGTTGTCTGTTTTGGCCAGAAAAATAAAAGGGTAAATTATTATTTAAATGGAGAGCAGATTGCAAAGTGCATCAGTGCAGAGGGATCTGGGCATCGTTGTGTATGAATCACAGAAAGTGGGTCTGCAGGTGCAGCGTATAATAAGAAAGGCAAATGGAATCCTAGTATTTATTGCAAAAGGACTGGATTACAAAAATAAGGAAGTGCTGTTACAATTATATAAGGCATTGGTGAGACCACGCCTGGAGTATTGTGTCCAGTTCTGATCTCTTTACGTGAGAAAGAATGTAATGGCACTGGAGACAATCAGAGGAGGTTCACCAGGTTGATTCCAGGGATGAAAGGGCTATTGTATGAGGAAGGTACTTGAGCTTGTACTCACTGGAGTTCAGAAGACTGAAGGGGGAATTGATTGAGGCACATAAAATGCTAAAGGGGATTGATAAGGTGAACGTTGAACAGATGCTCCCCCTTGTGGGACAGTCTCGAACAAGAGGTCATAAGTATAGAGTGAGAGGAGGTAGGTTCAAAACTGAGATGAGGAGGAACTACTTCTCTCAGAAGGTTGTGAATCTGTAGAACTCACTGCCCCAGAGTGCAGTGGAGGCAGAATTAATCAACAGATGCAAGAAAGAAATAGGTATGTTTCAGATGAAAAGCAGGATAAAGGGCTATGGGGAGCAGGCAGGAGAGTGGAGTTGAGACCAGAATAAGATCAGCCATGATCATGTTAAATGGTGGAGCGGGTTCGAAGGACTGAATTGCCTCCTCCCGCTCCTAATCCCTATGTTCCTATTACTTACACAGGACAATTGATCGTTATCATATTTCTGTTTGTGGAGTTTTAGTGTGGGTAAATTTGGCTGCTGTTTCCACCTTTTGTGCCTTTTGTGAAAGGCAATGTATAAACATAAGAAATTTCATTGTCACAATAGCAGTGACTGGAATTGTGTATAAACATGTACTAACTTGTTATTCAAAGTGTCCAGTGCAAATATGACTCAATTATGGTATACATCGAATAGCATGTTGGCAAGCTTTCTATTTGCAGATGTTCTGTCTTTCTTTCTTGACAGGATATCCTTAACCATGTCATAGATGATATTGAGACGTTTAACAATAAGCTTGATCAAGCTGTCAGCTCCAACTCTCGGAAAGAGAAGAAAAAAAAGAAATCAAAAAAGCAGAAAGGTATGTTTACAATGCAGGAACCTCTGTATTCCTGATTTAGCTATAATTGTTATGATCCCAGTGGATGTTACATCTGAACAAGTCAGATCCCAGACTGAAATCTGGCTTGATAGATAATTTTTTTAAAAAATTAATGACATTGTCTTTTACTGAAACACAATCAGGCAGTATTACAGATTTGGTTTTAACAAGAAAACAGACATTTATTATGCAAAAAGAGTTAAGAAAAAAAGAATAAACAGAACTATCTACATGTAACACAAGTTGAAAATTTTTTGACATTCACAGTAAAAAATAATATTCTGTCTGCCCAACAGTACCCCTTTATAGTACTCAAATATCAGAGAGAATTCCCTTCTTGATCACATGTTTTGGCTTGATTTAACTGTTGCTGCCAATTGCTGGACTTGAGCATTTGATAGCTTCTTTCTCAAGAGTCACATAACTGAGCTCAGATTTTCTCAGCTTCTGATAACCCTTCATTCTTCTAACCAAACATTTTTGGTCTGGAACTTTCAAACTAAACTCCTTACTCCTTTCTTCAGAGTTCTAAACTATTTCCTTTCTGCTGGAGAAACTGTTTTACATGTCTAATTTCCACCAGTGAACTGTGAACTGAAACTAAGCTAAATGTGTTTCCTCTAAGCAAAAAGAAAACAACTCTAAATGTTTCTAATTGAAAGCCTAATGGTCTTTAATGTTTATTATCTCTGTCAATAAGAATCTGCTGATGCAAACAAGTTCCAATTATTTTAGCAAGAAGTCTCTCTCATATTGTTTTGTTTTTGTTAAAAAGACCACGACACCAGAAATACTGGACAAGCTAATCATTGAATGCTTTCATACACACAGATCAAAATCCACATGCCACTAATTCAAAACCTGAACTCTAAAATAAATGGCATTAAAATCTATATGAATCGTACATCTTATATCACATAATGGATTGGCTTCAAACATTCTAAGTAGATTAAGTTCTGAAAGCAGCAGCAGTATTTTGATTATTATTATCGATGCATATTATATTTGGCAAAATCCTTGCCCCAGTCACATCTGTGACACAGTGTGGTTAAACTATCTGATTTAACTTTTTCTATTTTATCTCTGCTGGTCGGGCATTGAAATGTTGCTACCCCTGTAAATGGACAAGTAAGTTCAGTCAGCCAGTGACCCTCCACTAACTGGGCTTTCTGTGCATGTTTCCTACAGAAGCTCTCCCTCCTGAGAAAGAGTATGTGGATTGCCTGCAGAAGATAAAATACGCCTTTAATATGATTGTAAGTACAAGAGTGGAGAAAGACAATAGGATTTTGCCATCACTACACTGACAGAGGAAAATCAATCACTGAAACATACAAATGCAATATGCGAACATCTGGACCTTGATTGTGAACTGTGGCTCAGTGCCTCAAGGATTTCACTCCTTTACGTTACCCATCTCTCTGCTGTTTTTGTATTTGTTATCTCCCCTTAATTGAACCAAACACTCAAGAAACTTTTCTAGCAAAGCTTGATGGCACAGCGGATGTACAAGCAAGTCTTTCAGATGGCTACATGATCCATCCCTTCTCCCTTCATTTGAATGCTGTGTTGAAATTGTTATAGTGTCACCATGGAGATTTCAGAATGAAATTCCTCTTGTAATACAATAAGGGGATTGCCCCCTTTCTTCTGCAATTAATGACCCAGTAGTGATTGGCATCTTGCCCACAGTTTCAATCATTTACTCTCTCCAGTGATGCACACTAGCAGCAGTCTGTACCATTTTAACTATCAAGGTATTTAAAAGTGATGATGAATTCTGTTCTCTCTGTAGACTAATCTGGATGCTCATCTCCAGGATCCAAGTGCTAATGACCTGATTCACATTTTGTTCAAGATTCTTCAATTTGTAAGTTAATGTTCCTGAACTTTTCATTTTCTTTTGAACTCTGCTGTTTCTTGGCCTCATGTGCAGCAACAAATCCTCCTGTATCTAATGAGACATGCACTCTGAGTACACTACCTGTGACATGAGAATGTATATCAAAAGATATGATGAAACTGTAGAGAAACAAATGAGAACAGCAATAGAGAAGCAAGGCGCTGAATAAGCTTCTTTACTAATCTTTCTCTGATTTGTAAGAACTATTCAGTTCTGCAGCGTCATCTCAATTGTTAAGTTCAACAAATTCTGCATGAGCTGAGAAAACCAGTCAGTAATCTACTATTGTGTACCTGAAATTGCTGTTCCCTTCCCAGGATTAAGAATGTTTGACCACTGTCTCTTTTCTCTTTCAGTAGTTTTGCCTGGAGAGGTTTTATAGCTTTATGGTTATCTTACAATGATGTGATCAAGAAACAAGAATGGAGGGAATAGGAGCAAAATTTGGGGGCATGGTCACAGAATAATGGAATAGTCATTTAAAACTGAGATGTGAAGGAAATTCTTCTCTCAGAGAGTGGTGAACGTCTGGAATTCTCTTCCCTGGAGAGTTGTGGAGTCTAGATCACTACAAGTATTTTGTAAGTAGGTAGCTAGGCCTTTGAGAAATCAAGAAGTCGAGAGCTATGAGGATCTGGTACAAATGGGGAGTTAAGGCCTGAGGCAGGTCAGGAATGCCCACATCCTAGAAGTGAATAAAAATAATTGTGAGCATTTCTGAAAATGATACATTTTGTCAAAGCTTTTTGTCTTGAACTCATCAGGACAATTCACAAAAATATCAATTCGATGAGAAAGACCAACACTTGCACTAGAGGAGAAGAGAGTGCTGATTGGTTGGACACTAATAGGGGCATTGCTATGGAGAATGCATCTATTAATTCTAATTGGTAGTTAACTATCAGAATTTGTTTAAATTTTAAACCAAGCAGAGTCTGATTGATCAGGGTATTGTTATAAAGTAGAGTTTGACACCCCCCCTGACCAAGAACTAAAACTGAAATGCCCAAAAAGGAACACCTCGCCCTATAATGTGTAAAAGGACTGTTAATAGTGGTCTAGCCTGCTTTTCAGCAACTTTTAGTGATTAAATAAAATAAATCCCTGACACACACTTTAAAATCAACAAGAATAATTTATTTATCCAACTGTAACAGTAAACAAATTAATTAAACTATTAACAAACCAAATAAATCCGTTCTAACTACTAACTTCGTGAATAAAACAAGATCCTAATAGTATGCTGTTCCAACAAATACAAGTTCCACTTATATAAAAATAATAATTTAGTGTCTCGAAATTACAGGCAGGTTACATGTCTTCCGGAATGTTCTGTGCCTTCTCCATTAATTCTTCTGTCAGGAATGCCTTCTCCATTGATTCTTCTGTCAGGAATATTAACTAGTTGTTTCATTGGTACCATTGTTATTTAGATGGTGTTTTCCCTGAGACATAGATGAGGCTGCGAGAGCCAGCGATTCTTTCTTGAGAGCTGAGAGCCATTGGCTTTGGCAGATGGTAGCTGGCTCTGTGTCTTTGTCCAACTGCCCCCTTTATTTTATACCCTTGATGACATATCAAAATTTCTTACAATAGGATTGGTCCTACGTTGTCAAAACCATCAGATTTAAATTTAATAGGTTTTTGGTATCTAAGTGCCTGGTTCAAATTGATTGGCAAAGTACAGGGTTCTGTGTATTAATATAAGTATCTTTCAGTACATACAACCGCAGCATATTGTGAGCTTGGCTGATAATCTTAAATTAGTTATCACATAATTGTTTCCATACTCAGGATATCCAGGAAATGTTATCCAATTGCATGTAATCTTCGACAGCATGTTGTGATTTTTGCAAGCACAAGGTGGCTGGGTAGAATCAGTACTTTGCTTGTTGTGAACAACTGTAAGAGCATGCCGTTTGATATGATTTACCAATCTTTGGGGCATTCATTCTACATACCTAGCATCACACTGGCATTGACGTTCATTTACAACATTACTCATTGTGTGATAAGCAGAACACGTTTTGGCTTGATAGCAGTATCCTCTTGGTGCTGAACACCACTCATGTTGCTACTGCGATGTAGCTGCATGAAGCAGCAGTTTCACCTGTTGCGCAGGATAATCTGAAGTACATAAGAAGTGTCTACATCCCAGATCAAAATAGTCCAATGAATGGGAAAGCCAACATCCTGACAGCATTGCATTCATTTACTATTTCAATCAAATTGACCCAGATGCATGTTTCTCTCTTGGTATAATGGTTAACTAGACCAGGAAACTCCCAGTCATGATCGTGGACTTGGATACAAAGTTTTACTGATTACAGATTTTCGCTCCCCTCCTCGCTCAGGCCTCATGATTGGCAAACATATCTTCAGCCATCCGAGCTGTGGGGCATTAGGTTACATCGCTGCTTCTGAATCAGGAGTTCAAGTCACACTCCAAGAGTTGAACGCATTGATTTACTGCCCTTGAATTGAGTGGCTTGGCAGGCCATTTCAGAGGGCAGTTGAGAATCAACCACATTGGAGTCAAATGTAGACCCTACAAGGATAGGCATTAGTGAACAAGATGCGTTCTTTTGACAATCAACAACGGTCTCACGGTCATCAGCAGATTCTTAATCCCAGATATTTTGCATTAAATTCAAATTGCACCATCTGCCATGATGGGATTCGAACCCAGGTCTCCAGAACATTAGCTGAATTTCTGGATTAATAGTCTAGCAATAACACCATCTCCTCCTGCACCAGCTTATTAAATGAATGTCATTAACTAGTGCCGAGCTTCTGCTTTCTCCCCATACCCTCACGCATCAATTTATCCAAATAATGAGCAAATCCCTCTTGAAAGCCTCAATTGAAACTGCCTCCACCATATTTCCAGACAGTGCATTCCATACCCTAGCAACACGCTGAGTGAAAGAAGATTTTCTTCACATCATCCCTGCATATCTTGCAGATTGCTTTAAATCTATGCCCTTTTGTTCTTGTTCTCATAACAAACCAGGAAGAGTTTCTCCTGATCCACTCTATGCAACCTACTCATGATTTTGTAAACTTCACTTGGATCTGGGTGGCAGAGTGGCTTAGTGTTAGCACTGCTGCCTCACAGCACCAGGGACCCAGGTTCAATTTTGCCCTCGGGCAACTGTCTGTGTGAAGTTTGCATATTCTCCTCATGTCTGCATGGCTTTCCTCCGGGTGCTCCGGTTTCCTCCCACAGTCCAAAGACGTGCAGGCTAGGTGGATTGGCCATGTTAAATTGCCCATAGTGTTGAGGGATGTATAGATTGGGGGATAGGTCTGGGTGGGATGCTCTGAGGGTCGGTGTGAACATGTTGGGCCGAAGGGCCTGTTTCCACACTGTACAGATTCTATGATCTATATGCTGCTCCAAGGGAGTGTGTGACTGTTGTAGTGCCCACTTTTGAAGATTTAAAGCAAAGCCCTGTTATTGTTCTCAGATGAATGACAGTTTTATGAATGAAGACTCCAGGCTTTTCAATTGTGGGGACTATGAGATTGGTTCTCTTTCAGAAAACCATGGCACTATTTCAAAGATCAGTCGTGTCCTGCTCAGTCTTCACTCCTCTAATCAACATCATGGAAATGTGTTATCTGGTCACGGTTCAAGGTTGTAGTACACATTAGTGCCCAGGGTGTAGACGGGAAGGGGGTTGAAGTCTTCAAAGTAGGTTTTAGGCTGGAAGGTAGGAAATTAAAAATCAGAACCTTGAAATCATTAATCTCTGAATTATTCCTGGAGTTAAGGCCTACCGAGCATCAGATTTAAAGAGCTAAGACCATCTTGGCATGAGATTTTTTTATGCTAAAAATTTATTTGATTTTCCTGTTGAAAAAATACATTCTTCTCCTCAGATCCTGAACAACCTTCCAAAGCCTGACCTGGCACAGAAGGTGGTTGTACCTTTCCTGATCCCAAGTGCAATATATTTCCTCAGCTCAGCCACAAGTGTGGAAGAGCAGGTCATCTGGCGGTCTTTAGGAGATGCGTGGAGCGTGCCCAGGTTGGTGAATCATACAGCAATCAGGAGTGTACTGTCTTGTCATTATTGCTCATTCATTGGTCCCACGAGGCTGAGATGGAGAGAGCTTTGTACTGTTCAGCATGGGGAGGGAGGAATGCATTTTCCTATTGCATTCTCAGTTGGAATTTGCCACTTTCAGTGGAGTGATTGTTCCATGTTGACCTTGTGGGGTTTGTGGTTGCAATGATGTTACAATTGTTCGTTATAAACACACTATGAAGCAACTTCACCCTGGCTGCTTTCTTATCGAGCAGAGTTCCTGGTCTGGGTTCACATAAGCAAATTATTTCAAATCAGTTCTTCCCATTGTCATGGGACACCAGGTCAAGTTAATTATCTGATAACACGGCCAAAATCAGGTCACTTGGATAGACCTATACCAATAAGAAAATCATTCAATGGCAATGAAAGGTTATGGCACTGAAAGATTAACTCCATTTCTCTCTCCACAGATGCTGCTTGACTGACTGAGTGTTTTACAGCATTTCCTGCTCTTCTTATAACGATATATTGCTGTTTTTAAATGCAGGTCAGATTGGCCAGATGGTGAGAGTTTTCCAAGTTATGTCCCTACGTTCATTAGTGGTTGGGATATACCACCTCTGCAGCCATTAAGATCTCCAACACCCAATCTGAAAGAACAGGTACTGGCTGGACAGGAAGCCCATGAATATTTTTTATTAAATCTCCTTATAGAGAAAACAGTCCTTTTCCAGATGGCCCAAACCAGCAGGAATTTAGGAGTCATAGATGATTGATTCTGGGTTAGTCTCTGTCTATGTTTGCCAGGTTGGGAGGATCCTCTTGTGTTCCAGAAGATCCTGAGTTCAAGATCCACTCTAAAGGAGGGGACTGCAGATTTATTGCAGTCAATTTTAATAGCAGTGAGGTTAACTGGTTGTAATTAACCATAGTACTCTGAAGCAGTTTTGGACAGTTACGCACCGTCAACCTCGGCATTATTTTGTCAGTGACATTTAGACCCATCCTTGCCTGGGAGAGTTTGCCATGATCAAATCGGTTTCCACATTTCTTAAAGTACATGAGTGACTCTAATTCTAAAGTACTTCACTGTCTGTGAAGACACCCAGATTATGAAAGATGCTACATGAATGCATTTTCTTTCATCACCTCAGAATGTTCAAAAGCACTTGACAGCCAATGAACTATTTTTGAAGTGCAGTCATCGTTGCCGTGGAAGAGATGGGGGTCACCAATTTGTTTGCAGAAAGTTCCCACAAACAACGCAGCAATGACCTGTTCCAGTGACATTGGCTCATTAACAGAAGCTGGCAGGGTGCCATGCTCCATTATTTAAGAATGTGCCTCCGATAGATCCATGTGGCTTATGGTGTTGCGATCACATTTCCCCATCATCAAATACTCCCTAGTTTGAACTCATATCTGAGAAGTGTCAGATAAACAGATTTGAGCCACACCCCAGCAGGAGTGATAGTCTTCAGGTGACCTCCTGAGATCAAATAAGATGAATAACTTTATGAATTGCTTGCTGGATACAACGCAGAATAGGGCTTATGGGTCCTGCTCATTCATTACATGATTGTAGACACAGATGTTTCCTGCTGTACATCGGTGATACTCTTAAATATGGACTTGATGTAAGCTCAGAAATGTTTACAAGAAAACCCTCCTTTGGAGGACCCCTTTGCTTTTCATTCGATCTCTCAAAATGTTGAATTGGAGCAGCAGTGTACATGAGAAACATTTCCAAACTCCATTGAGAGGCTGCCCCCTTGTGACATGACTGATGAATGGTTCAATTTGACACATAACAACAAAAAAACTGCATTTATTTAGCACCTTCCACTCTAGTTTAAAAGTCCCAAGTCATCTGGCAAGGGTATTATCCATCAAAGTTTGCCACACAGGGAGAAACATAGGACAGGTGATGGAAATCTTGATCGTAGAATTACTTCTGAGGAGTATTTTAAAGTAGAATATTTAAGTAGAGAATTCCGGAAGGAAATGATCCAGGCAGCTGAAGGAATGGCTGCCAAAGGTGGAGCAACAAAAATAAGGGATGTGGGAGGTGCCTGGACTGGACCTGCGCAGAAATCCTGGAGGGCTGTATGGTATCGCAGGAGGGAATGTGGGTTTTTGATCTTCTGAACAATGCAACTGATACCTTGCACTCTGATAGCCAACCCCAGACTCAACCTCACGAAATTTTAAAGGAATCACAGAATTATTATGGTCCGAAAGGAGGCCATTCACCCCATTATGTTTGCACTGTCTCTCCAAATGAGCATTATGACTTAATGCCATTCTCCTGCCCTTTCCTCATAATCTCATGCCTTCTTGAATACTTCAATTGTACCTACTTCTGCTTCACTTCTAGCCAGTGCATTCCAGGCCGAAGCACTTATCTTTTAAAAAGGTTTACATTGCATTTACTACTTTTGCAAATCACTGTAAATGAAAGTCACTCTTGATCTTGATCCTTCTGTGGATGGGGCAGTTTCTCTCTAACTACTCAGTCCAGATCTCTCATGATTTTGAAAATATCAATCAAATCACCTCCTAGCTTTCACCTCTCCAAAGAAAACAGCCTTAACCTCTCCAATCAGGTGTCCCAGAAGCTCAGTAGTTAGTACTGCTGCCTCACAGCACTAGGGAACCGGGTTTGATCCACCCTCGGACGACTGTGTGGAGTTTGCACATTCTCCCCATGTCTGCGTGGGTTTCCTCTGGGTGTTCTGGTTTCCTCCCACAGTTTAAATATGTGCAGATTTGTGGATTAGTCATGGGAAATGCAGAGTCACACAGATTGGGTGGGATGCCCTTCGGTAGGTCGGTGTTTTTTTTCATTCATTAACAGGATGACGGCGTCACTGGCCAGGCAGCATTTATTGTCCATCCCTCATAGCCCAGAGGGCAGTTCAGAGTCAACCACATTGCTGTGGGCCTGGAGTCACATGTAGGCCAGACCAGGTAAAGATGGCAGTTTCCTTCCCTAAAGGGCATTAGTGAACCAGATGAGTTTTTCCTGACAATCGACAATGGATTCATGGTCATCATTAGACTCTTAATTCCAGATATTTTTATTTAATTCAAATTCCACTATCTGCCCTGGCGGGTTTCAAACTTGGGTACCCAGAACGTTATCTGGGTCTCTGGATTAATAGTCCAGCGATGATGCCACTTGGCCATCACTTCCCCTTGATTTGATGGGCCTACTTTCACACTTTAGGAATTCTATTCTATGACAATCCTTCATCATAAATGAAGATTCTCATCCCTGTAACCATTCTTGTAAATCTGTTCTGCATTTTTTCAATGCGTTCACATACATCTTATAATGTAGCACCCAGAACTGTGCGCAATGCTTCACCTGAGATCTAACCAGTGTTGTACATAGGTTCAACATAATTTACTTATTCTTGTATTCTGTGCCTGTATTAATAAAACCGATGATACTGTACAATTTATTAACCGGACTCTTGACTTGTTGTGCCAATTTCTGATTTTATCTTCAACTCTACATTCCTGCATATCCCTAAAAATCTTTCATGTCTTAGTAATCAAGAATCTATTCATCTCTGCTTTAAAAATATTTAAAGATTCTGCTTCCACTGCCTTTCAAGGAATGGAATTTTAAGTCTCACAAATCTCTGAAGGAAAAAAAAATCCTCATCCCTGCCTCAAACGTGCAACCTCCAATTTATAAACTGTGACCTTAGTTCTAAATTCTCCCTAAAGAGGAAACATCCTTTCCACATCCATCTGGTTAAGTCCTGTCAGGATCTTTTACGTTTCAATTAAGTCACCTCTGACTCTTCCAAAATCCAGGATACAGGCCTTGCCTGTCTAGCCTTTCCTCATAAAGTATTCTATTCATTCCGGATATTAGTAAACCTTCTCTGAACTGCTTCCAACACATTAACATTCTTCCGTAAGTACAGTGACTAGTACTGACCACCATACTCCAGATGCAGTCTCACCAATACCCTATAGAACTGAAGCATAACTTCCCTACTCTTGCATTCTGTTCTCCTCACAGTAAAACATAACATTCTAATATAGTCATACAGTATGGAAGCAGACCCTTTGGCCCAACCAGTCCATGCTGACCATAATCCTAAACTAAACTGGTTGCACCTGCCTGCACTTGTCCCATATCCCTCTAAACATTTCTTATTCATTTACTTATTTAAATGTTTTTTAGAAGTTGTAACTGTACCTGCAATCACCACTTCCTCCTGAAGTTCATTCAACTCATGAACCACTCGCTATGTAAAAAAAAGCCCCTCATTACTTTTTAAAATCCTTCTCCTCTCACCTTAAAAATATGTCCCAGGGTCTTGAAATCCCCCATGCCAGGGAAAAGACACCTGCCACTCACCTCATCTATATCCCTCATGATTTTTTAAGCCTCTATAAGGTCACCCCTCAACCTCCTACACGCCAGTGAAAAATGTCCCGCCTATCCAGCCTCTCCTTGTAACTCAAGCCCCCCAGTTCTCGACTTTTCTGAAAACTTTTTGGAAGTCCTAAACATGTAAATAGCTTTCCCCACATGAAACCTCACTGTTAATTCTTTTGAGAACTTCAGTAATTTTGTTAAACATGACTTTTCCTGGAAGAAATCCATACTGCCTCTCCCTATTTATCCAGGTGGTTTTGAATACTGTCCCAAATTATTGTTTCTAGCCATTTCCCCATTTGTTTGTAATTGTTTGGTTTACTCTTAGAAACGTTTTTTGTACAGGGGTGTAATGTTTGCAACACTCCAGTCTTCTGTCATCATCCCTAAGTCCAGGGAAGACTGAAGGGTCATGGCCAGTAGCAGGAATATCCATCATGAGCATCATCATTAAGGAGTCTTATTCAGCTAATCAGAGTGAACTTGAGAAATGGGCCAGGCAACAGGATGGACACATATATGCAGTATAGGAGCTTTGACAATAAACCAGCTATGATTCACAATTCTTTGATGTTACCTGCTCATCAATGAGATGTACTAATTAGAACAGCTGAATGTCTGCAATTGAAAACGATTAAATTATTCCCATTTTTACTAAATTTTTAATATCGTGTTACAGATATGCTTTCATCTCTTTGAATTGTGTCTTTTGTTTTTCTTTCGTAGATGGAAGACCCACGCGGTGCACCCTTTGAGAAGTAAGGAGGACATCAAAAAGATAAATACTTCTCTAGCCGTCTCATCATAGTATCCACTGTGGCCCTTAAATTTTTTTAATTCATTTACGGGGAATGGGCGTCTCTGGCTGGGCAGCATTTATTGCCCATCCCTAATTGTCCAGAGGGCAGTTGAGAGTCAACCACATTGCTGAGGGTCTGGAGTCACATGTAGGCCAGATCTGGAAAGGATGGCAATTTCCTTCCCTAAAGGATATTAGCGGGCCAGATGGGTTTTTCCTGACAATTGGCAATGGATTCCTGGTTAGACTCTTAATTCAGAGCTTTTTAAAATTTAATTCAAATGCCACCATCTGCCATGGTGGGATTCACACCTGGGTCCCCTGCACAATTCTTGTATCTCTAGATTAACAGTCCAGTGATGATACCACTAGGCCATCCCCTAGGAGCCAGGTCTTAATTCTTTGAAGCAACAGACAGACACTGAGGAAATTTACCAGAATAATGTCAAGAATGAGGAGCTTCAAAATGCAGAGAGACTAGAGAAGCTAGGTTTGTTCACGATAAAGCAGAGATGGTAGTGATGATATTATATCTTTAAGAGGTGTATTTTGTCCTTTTTTTTAATGAAGAAAGGTTGAGACAGAGGTGATGAGCATTCCGCTCAAAGCCAATAAAGTATACAGCTTGTGAGGCCTTGGGTTTTTTTTTAGAAGTTGGAATAATAGAAGCAGCCTGAATGGGTGTGGTCAAGTTCCCACAGAACCAGGATTTTTACTTTTAACTTTCTACAGTTGCTGGAGTCATGAAGCTGGATGTGGAAGCTCTTATTCCTCTCTTTGTTACAGCTAAAAGCTAGGATTCTCTTCCTGCCGCTAGAATTGTATGTGAGACAATCCATTTTATTGAACTTTCCTTTGCTAAGGGTGTGTTTATAGGAAGTTACTGTATTGGAACAGTTAATTAGTAAACCTTAATACATATATTATTTTGAGTATTTCAATAGAGTTATAGCCAAGCCAATTCTTTTCTTTTTATTTTGTCTGTATTTTAACTGTATTGTAAAAGTAAAGTATGTTTTGCTTAATGTCATGTAGTTTTGACCAATCGAATTGCATCTGGAATGCAACGCCTTACACTTATCTTTAAAGTAAGAAAAAGTTAGGGTCTAGGCTTTCTCCTTAATTGTATTTTGGGGGTGTATGGTCTGGTCCATAACACAGTCAAACAAGAATGGCTTTGATAAGCAAGGATAAACTGTTTCCTAAGGTGGGAGGCTTGAAACCAAAGGCATTTATTTAAGATAATTGGCAAATGGAACAAAGGAGAGATGAGAATTTTTTTTGGTCAGCGGTAGTTGTTATGAACTGGAAACCTCTACCTGAAAAGGCCGTTCCCCTCAATAATAAGTATACCATTTTGGATACTTTTGGGGGAGATGACCTACCAGGGAAAGGCCATAGCAGACAGGTCTCTGGCACTGAGCCTGACCCTGTGACAAAGAAGGGAAGGAGGGAGAATAGGAGAGCAATTGTAGTGGGGGACTCGATAGTAAGAGGCACAGACAGGCAGTTCTGTGGATGTGAACGAGATGAAAGGATGGTATGTTGCCTCCCGGGTGCCAGGGTCAGTGATGTCTCGGATCGTGTCTTCAAGATCCTTAAGGGGGAGGTTGAGCAACCAGCAGTCATGGTACGCATCGGTACCAATGACATAGGTAGAAAAAGGACTGAGAATGTGAAAAACGAGTACGGGGAGTTAGGTTGGAAGCTGAAGTCCAGGACAAACAGGGTAGTTATCTCCGGATTACTACCAGTGCCATGTGATAACGAGGTAAGAAATAGGGAGAGAGTGCAGCTAAACACATGGCTACAGGGTTGGTGTAGGAGGGAGGGCTTCCATGATGTGGATAATTGGAGCACGTTCTGGGGAAGGTGGGACCTGTACAGTAAGGACGTGTTGCACATGAACCGGAAGGGCACAAATATCCTGAGAGGGAGGTTTGCTAGAGCTGTACGGGATGGTTTAAACTAGTTTGGCAGGTGGTGGGGAACCGGATTTATAATTCAGAGGATGAGGTATTCGGCCTTCCAACAGACACAACAGGGAGTGAGGTGATTTATAAAGAAATGCGGTCGATGGAGTGTAATTACGACACCGAGATGGTTTGAGGTGTGTATACTTCAATGCTAGAAGTATCAGAAATAAAGTGGATGAACTTAGAGCATGGGTCAGTACTTGGAACTACGATGTTGTGGCAGTTACAGAAACTTGGGTAACTCAGGGAGATGAATGGTTGTTGGAAGTTCCAGGATTTAGATGCTTTAAAAGAAATAGGGAGGGTGGAAAAAGAGGTGGGGGAGTGGCATTGCTAGTCAGGGCGAGTATAGCAGCTACTGAAAGGCAGTTCGAGAATGATATGTCTACAGAGTCAGTTTGGGTTGAGGTCAGGAACAAGAAAGGAGCAGTCACTTTGTTGGGGGTTTTTTACAGACCCCCTAATAGTCCAGAGAAGTAGAGGAGCGGATTGGGAGGCAGATACTGGAAAGGTGCAGAAGTCACAGGGTTGTAGTCATGGGTGACTTCAACTTTCCAAATATTGATTGGAAACATTTTAGTTGTAATAGTTTAGTTGGAGCAGATTTTGTCCAGTGCGTTCAGGAAGGATTCTTGACACAGTATGTAGATAGACCAACACGAGGAGAGGCCACTTTGGATTTGGTGCTTGGCAACGAACCGGGCCAAGTGTTAGACCTGTTGGTAGGAGAGCATTTTGGCGGTAGCGATCATAACTCTGTTTCTTTCACGATAGTCATGGATAAGGATAGGTACATACGGCAGGGTAAAATTTACAATTGGAGGAAGGGTAATTACAATTCAGTTAGGCAAGAACTGGGTAACATAAATTGGGAACAGATGCTGTCAGGGAAGAGCACCACAGAAATGTGGAGATTATTTAAGGAATGCATACTGCATGTGCTCAATATGTTTGTCCCTAGCAGGCAGAGAAGATGCGGTCAAGTGAGGGAGCCATGGTTCTCAAGAGAGGTCGAACGACTAGTTAAGAGGAAGAAGGAGGCTTATGTAAGGTTTAGGAAAAGAGGAACGGAAAAGGCTCTAGAGGGATACAAGTTAGCCAGGAAAGAGCTGAAGAAAGGGCTTAGGAGAGCTATAAGGGGGCATGAGAAAACCTTGGCGGATAGGATCAAGGAAAACTCCAAGGCTTTTTACACATATGTGCAGAACAAGAGAATGACCAGAGAAAGTGTAGGGCCGATCAAGGATTGTAAAGGGAATTTGTGCACAGAGCCTAAAGAGATAGGAGAGGTCCTTAATGAATGCTTTTCTTCAGTATTCACAACTGAGAGGGACCTAGTTGTAGAGGAGGGCGTTGTGAAACAGGCAGGTAGGCGAGAGGAGGTTGATGTTAGTAAAGAAGACGTACTAGGAATTTTGAAGAAGTTGAAGATAGATAAGTCCCCCGGGCCTGATGGGATTTATTCAAGGATTCTATGGGAAGCGAGAGATGAGATCGCAAGGCCTTTGGCGATGATCTTTTCATCCTCACTGTCCACGGGTATAGTGCCGGAAGATTGGAAAGAGGCAAACGTCACTTCCTTGTTCAAAAAAGGGAACAGGGATAACCCCGGAAATTACAGGCCAGTTAGTCTTATGTCAGTGGTGGGCAAATTATTGGAAAGGGGTCTGAGAGACAGGATTTATGATCACTTGGAAAGGCACAGTTTGATCCGTGATAGTCAGCATGGATTTGTGAAGGGTAGATCATGCCTCACAAACCTTACTGAATTCTTTGAAGAGGTGACCAAACACGTGGATGAAGGTGGAGCAGTGGATGTGGTATACATAGATTTAAGTAAGGCGTTTGATAAGGTTCCCCATGGCAGGTTCATGCAGAAGGTAAGGAAGCATGGGATAGGGGGAAATGTGGCAGATTGGATTCAGAATTGGCTGACCCTTAGAACACAAAGGGTGGTAGTGGATGGAAAATATTCAAAATGGTGCTCAGTTACGAGTGGTGTACCACAAGGATCTGTTCTGGGTCCTCTTCTATTTATGATTCTTGTAAATGATTTGGATGAAGGAGTGGAAGGGTGGATTAGCAAGTTCACGAACGATACAAAGGTGGGTCACGTTGTGGACAGTGCGGAGGGCTGTTCTAGGTTACAAAGGAACATTGATAGAATGCAGAGCTGGGCTGAGAAGTGGCAGATGGAGTTAAACCCTGAAAAGTGTGAGGTGATTCATTTTGGAAGGACAAACTTGAAAGCAGAATACAGGGTTAACGGAAAGATTCTTGGCAGTGTGGAAGAGCAGAGGGATCTTGGGGTTCATGTTCACATTTCCCTGAGAGCTGCCACCCAGGTGGATAGAGTTGTTAAGAAGGCATATGGTGTGTTAGCTTTCATTAATAGAGGGATTGAGTTCAAGAGCCGTGAAGTTATGCTCCAGCTGTACAAAAGCCTGGTTTGGCCACATCTGGAGTATTGTGTCCAATTCTGGTCACCTCATTAGAGGAAAGATATGGAAGTGTTAGAAAAGGTGCAGAGGAGATTTACCAGGATGTTGCCTGAAATGGAGGGAAGGTCTTACGAGGAAAGGTTGAGAGACCTAGGGCTTTTCTTCTTAGAACGACAAAGGATGAGAGGTGACTTGATAGAGGTGTACAAAATGATCAGAGGTATAGATGGAGTAGACAGCCAGAGACTTTTTCCTAGGGTGGAGGTAGCTTTTACGAGGGGACATAGTTTTAAAGTGAAAGGAGGTAGATATCGGGGCGACGTCAGAGGTAGGTTCTTTACTCAGAGAGTGGTCGGGGCGTGGAATGCATTGCCGGAGAGGGTAGTGGAGTCGGCCTCATTAGGGGCATTTAAGCGGCTATTAGATAGGCATATGGATGATAGTATAAAGTAGTGGTGGAGGTTAGATAGACCTTAGGTTTAGGGTAAAAGTTCAGCACAATATCGTGGGCTGAAGGGCCTGTACTGTGCTGTACTGTTCTATGTTCTAAAAGGTTCAACAGTAACTTACAAGAAGGAATTCTAGACTTGAAGGGGAGCAAGTTTTAAGAGTCTGGGGGATAGAGCATTGAGAATGGACTAATGAGACATCTCTTTCATGTTGGGCTGAATGGTCTCATCCTGCAACTAATCTTTCAATGATCTACTCCCCTGGCTAGGTGTCACAAGATTAGCTTAGCTGAAGAAGGCCATTGGCAGAAGATCACCCCTTCCTTGAATCCTGTCCCCCAGCACCTTCTCATTATAGCATCCAAATGATTCTTCAATGGGTCCAGAGTGTTGGTCTCAGTCACATTTTATGCTGATTTTCAGTGAGAATCAACCTGTGAGTCAAGACTTTCTTGATTTTGAAAGATTATATCATCCTTATTTTGTTTCAAATTGTACAGCTAGACTTGGACAGAAAACATCCGACCTTGGCAATATTAAATCAGGGAGTGTATCAAATCTGGGAAGGTGAATACCAAATGATATTATTGCTAGACTATTAATCCAGAAACTCAGCTAATGTTCTGGGGACCCAGGTTCAAATCTCCACCATGGCAGATGGTGAAATTTGAAGTCAACAGAAATATCTGGAATTGAGAATCTACTAATGCTCATGAAACCATTGCTGATTGTCAGAAAAGCCCATCTGGCTCACCAATGTCTTTCAGGAAAGGAAATCTGCCATCCTTACCTGGTCTGGCGTACATGTGACTCCAGACCCACAGTAACGGTTGACTGTCAGCTTCCCTCTGAAATGTATCGATCGCAATGAAGTCTCGCATAGACTGCAGTAGTTCAAGAATGCAGCTCATCTCCACCTTCTCAAGGGCAACTAGGAATGGGTTAATAAACACTGGCCAGCCAACGACGCCCATGAGTGAACTAAATAACCTCCAGGTTGTACTTGCCTAGCTAGCAGCCAATCTCCTCCCAAACCCCCACCATTCTATTGCTCACCTGATCCTGAGAATTGGCGATATCAAACAGCAGGAGAGGAGACCAGTGGCTGGCACTCAGGTGTGTGGCAGAGGTTGGGGCCACATGCACTTCTTGCACCCAGGAATGAAGTAAGGGAAAATGTCATTTGTTTTCCACTGTGAATCTCTTCAAATTCCTCTTCCTGCAAGGCTTAGCTTGTGGAATAACTGCAATGGCATCTCCTCTCAGTCCTTTGCTTTAAAAGACCTGTCTGATGTCCTTGGTTGAGAGTTCGGGTTCAGCTGGCAGGTCACCGAACTGCAGCCTGGTGTGGGCAAGGGTTTCCCAGCCAAATAATTAATACTATCTGCCTGCCTACTTGATCTCGGCCAGGGGAACAGGGTTGAGATTGTCCCAATGGTTAAAAAGTGTAGGAGAACACGCCAGGGTCAGGTAACTAGCTGGTTTCTGTTTTCTCACTACAGGCCACAGAAGGATCATCAATTTGCCAAGGCAACATACGATTTCATGAAAAGAAAAACCAGAGAACTCACAGTCATGAAAGGAGATGTTCTTGAAGTAGGTAAAGTGTAAAATGCTGGTCTTAGGGTTCTAAAAGGGATATAGCTATTTACAGGGATAATACCAGACACAAATATACTCATCAGGAAAGATTAGACAGGCTGATGCTGTCTTCCCTGGAAAGGAGTATGCTGAGGGATGATCTGTTGGAGGGTTTTAAGATTATGGAAGGGGTGGAAACATAGGAAAAATCTTTTCATTTATGGAGAAGTTCAAAATTTGAGGTACATATTAATATGTATGATAGTTAGGAATAAATCCAGTTGGTGATTCAGAAGAAACTTTAAATAAATAAATAAAGATTGGATTTCATACATTTCATGACCCTGGGATATCCCAAAGTCGTCATGAATTACTTTTTTGAAGTGTAGACACTGCTGTGAAATCCACATATAGCAATGTAACATTGACCAGATGATCTGTCTTGTGATGTTAGTTCAGGGAGAAATATTGGTGAGGACACGGGATAACATGTTTGTTTTTCTTTTGAAATGGTACCATGGAACCCTTTATATCTACCTGTGAAGATCTCAGTTTAAAATTGCATCTGCAAGCCAATGTGTCCAACATTCCTTGAATCAAAGCTTTTGTGCTCAGATCTTGGGATGGGAACTGGATCAACATCATTTCAGGTTGAGAGGAAGCAGGGGTGGGGATGCAATGGTTGGGGAAGGGTGCTGTAACCTCAGCTGTATCTGACATGACTCCAGGGAAAGGTTAGAATGTTGAACTTCGTACCACATGGAGTAGTTGAGGTTGGTAGTGAAGGTGCAGTTAGTGAGAAGTCAGATAAAAACGCAAAGGGGAAAAGGAATAAAAAGTCATGTTGATGATTAGATGAACTGAAACTTTGAGGTTCCACTGGTCTCTTATGGCTTGGTGTGACACTGCACAGAGCAATTAATCACTAACCACTTTGAAAATGAGAACAGAAACTAGTCTTACCAGCAGTGCCCATATGCCAGAAACAAATTAAAAAATGTTTCAGAATATATAATTTAGCATTGCCTTAAATGAATGGTAAAATTCAAAGTGATTTTTGAAATTTATGATCCAACTTTATTTATTTACCAAGCTGGTACATAACTGTGTGGTGAATATTAGAGTCTAGAAATTGTGGGTGACACTTTCAGCATTTTCACGTCAGTTGTAAAACGATCAATATAGAGAAATGTGCTTTACTGAGCTAACAGAAAGCCCAAGCTCAAGTAGAAGTTGAAGCTTTTAAGGGAAAACTGTGTATCAGTGAGAAAGGATCAATAGGGAATACTGTTGGGGTTGGGTGAGGAAGGGTGGGAGGAGGTGTGTGTGTGGAGCCTATTTACCAGCATCCATCTATCGATTTGAATTTTGTGATCTAAATACTTTGTAGCTTTGTAAGCATTTGGCCCCCCTACTGCACCAATGGGAATGAGTTTGTTTGCAATATTAAATGATACCTGCTCCAAACCCAGCAGGAAGTTGGTTGGAGATTGCTCCTATTTTACAGGGGTACTCAGCAGAGAGAGAAGACATTCATTCTACCATTTTAGTCTCAGGTTGTAACCCATTTGGTCCTAATCAAATGTAACCTTGCTTAATCATGTTCTTATGGCTCAGCTTGATCTCAATCACTCAACGAGATACCCAGTTCTGCTTAACTTTCCTTAGCCGCTCTGGGCTGTGATCCAGGCAAACTTCACTGACTCACTGATACGGTTTGTACCTTTCAGGTATTGGAGGCCTCTAAGCAGTGGTCGAAAGTAAAGAACCAGAATGGTTCCATTGGTTATGTACCCTCCAACATCATGCAGTTAATGAATCAGGAGGACTTCCTTCCTTCGGTAAGAAAACCCTTGCAGCCTTTATAAGAATGAAGTTTTGGTGATTCTTTATGATGGGTGGGTGGATTGGCATGTCACAGCAGCATTGTTGGCCCACCTTGCAATTACTGCTGGAGATGGGAGTGTGCAATGCAGTAAGGGCTTTTCTCCTTGCTGGATAGTCTTACTGTCCCCCTTGGGATTGTAGTCTATCTCCCCATTCTCAGCTCGTCTGCCACCTTCAGATCACGCATTGCTTCCTGCTCTTAATCCTAATGAATGTACAAACAAAATCTACATCTACAATTGTCACCACCTGCTGCCAGTTCTTCCTCCGTTTGGCTGGCTGCCAGATAAGAAACTGTGCTAATAAGTGATAACAGAATCTTGCAGTTAATTCTGGTAAGATCTCTTCACTCTTTTAGGTACTCAGGTCATCCTTCTAACCCCTCCCTTGGCCCCATGTACTTGTCTCAATCTGTATTCCTGTACAAACTCAATCCAAGTTTGAAGTGCAATGTAGTTTAAATGTGTAGTTAAATCTTCACTGGTTTGTTTAATCTACCGTTGCAATCTCTCATGTGTCTTCTGATTTTTCATAGCATGTTGATAACAACCGTGCTTTTCAATATCCCTCCTATACTGACTCACGTGATGTGACAGTCCACTCCACATCCAGTGAGGTGACAGCTTGGCTCCAGAAGAAAGGCTTTTCAAAAATGTAAGTACAGGTCATGCTGCTCTATAAACTCAACCAGTTAAAAACAACCACAATATTATCATCAAAGAATGTCTTTGTTCTTCACCCCCTTGTTTTTCACACTTAACTAATTGTGAAGGGTATTTTTCTCACAGTTCCAATCTTTATTCTTTGTAAACTTTTGTCCTGATCCACTTCAGTTTGCAATGCCATGTCAGGTACAATTCCCACTCCTTTCCGAATTTTAAATATTGCTGAAGGCAGACATGGATCAAAACATTTCATCGTGTACGCATCAGGACTGAAAATGCAGGTAAACCAAATTTAGAGAGGAAATGATACAGCATTGGAAGAAGGTGCTGATTGGCTGAACTACAGTTGACTTGGAACTGTTAACTTTCAATCTTAATTAAGTAAATTCAAACCAGGCAAATCCACTGTGATTAGTCAGGTATTATAATGGGTATACAGCAGGGATTGTTACAGTGTACAGGTATATACCACTTTCGGATAAAGAACAAGGCCCTGTGTGTGATCTGTCCTCCATGTGTGTTCTGTTCATCAAATGATTCTTTTCTCCTCCCACAGTACTGTGAGGTCTCTGGGGATTCTCACTGGTGCTCAACTAATGAGTCTAACTAAGGAAGAGTTGAAGCTTATCAATAATGTAGAAGGACCCATTGTCTACAATGAGATTCACGGAGCGTAAGAAAGCATGTATGTTCTTTACTGCATCAACCACTCCCCTTCCCAATGTTCAGTGTTATTTTTATTTATACATGATATTAGATAAGATAATAAACCCAGGTCTACTCTGCCCTCTCAGATAGACATAAAGGATCCCATGATATTATTGGAAGAAGAGTAGGGAAATTCTCCATCTGTTGGATGACATACACCCTTCTCCCCCACAATTAAAAAACACCTAAGTAGATCATCTGGCTATTTATCTCATTACAGTTTGTGGGAGCTTGCTGTGTGCAAATTGACTGCTGCATTTCCCTATATTGTTTCAATGAGAGCACGTCAAAGCACTGGCTGTAAAGCACTTCAGGAAAGTGGCACGGTAGCTCAGTAGATGGCATTATTGCTTCACAGCGCCAGGGACCTGGGTTCAATTCAGCCTTGGGTGACTGTGTGATGAGTTTGCATGTTCTCCCCATGTCTGTGTGGGTTTGCTCCCACAGTCCAAAGATGTGCAGGTTAGGGTGGATTGACTTTACTAAATTGCCCATAGTGTTCAGGGCCGTGCAGGCTAGGTGGGTTAACTATGGTTAAAAACCCCATGTGCGGTTATGGGGTTAGATGCCCTTTGGAGGGTCGGTGCAGATGTAATGGGCTGAATGGCCTCTTTCTGCGCTGTAAGGATTCTATGAATGATACTGTATCAATTTTCGTGTAAGTGTTTGCTTTGTAGTTTTTGCTATTTAGTAATAAGACATGATTGTATAGAACATTCAAATTATGGAATGATTCCCCTCTGACTTAAGTAGTTTCCTGAATTTTCTACTATTCAATATATTTGTTTATATTTGAGAAACCTCAGTGAAGTGCCAGGATTCACAGTGTAAGATGTGCAGGTTGCAAAGATAGAACATGTGGGTCAAACAGAGACCGTGCTTCAGCACCTGAATTGCAAAAGCTTTCAAACTGTATTTGGGAAAGGTTGAGGGAGGGAGAGTTTTCCAGTTTGAGTTTCTGGGAGACAGCAAAGGTACTTAAGAAGGTTCACTTGCTTGGAACCACAGGAAAACACTGCATCTTCCCATTCACCAGCCCCCACCCTCACCTCCCACTCCCAACCCCTTTCTGTCCCTCACACCCTTCATCCTGGAAACAATTCCCCCACTTTCTCCCCAACCCCACATACAACAATTATTGATACATAAATAAGGCTTCCCAACCCTACAACAGTATATTTCCTAATAATCTGTGAGCTTATGTATGAATGACTCCAAACACCATATTATTTCAAGTCTGTACAATGTTAAGGAATGATCCCAGAGCATGGCCCTGTAAACAAGAAGTGGCCAAATTGCAAGGTGTTTTCAGCAAATGTGTACTGAAAATCCTCAGACTCCTTATGATATAAGGTGCATGTACCTTTAAAGATATCTACCTTAAATTTCCATTGATAACTACCACCTTGAGATCACTCAATAGGCGGTAGCAGTAGGGAAGATGCACTATCCATTGTCTTCCAATTAAACTCTCCTTGTATGTCATCCTAACTTCAAATAACAAATCCTTGTGTTTGATTGGCTTGTTTAGTTTAAGAAAAGAACAGAATAAGACTGAAGGAAATCTAAAATAAGAACCGCCGGTCAGAAAAATGTTTCAACCGTAGCACAGATTGTTGTAATAAATTTAAGGAATTAGAGTGCCTCAAGAACAATCTCAGTAAAAATGGTTTTGATGTTTGTTTACATCAAGATCGTTGAAGAAGAAATCAGGAATTGGGGCCAAAAACTTGACCAGAGAGTTAGTTTTTTTTAGTGAGTCATAGAGTCATACAGCCATACAGCGTGGAAACAGACCCTTCAGTCCAACCAGTTCATGCTGAACAAAATCCCAAACTAAACTAGTCCCACCTGCCTGCTCCTGGCCCAAATCCCTCCAGACCTTTCCTATTTATATACTTATCCAAATGCCTTTGTCTTATCAGAGAAGTGTTTCGATCTTTAGTGAGATAATTCCAGGGCTTTGGAACAAGGCACATTGCTGGTGGTGGAGTGATTAAAATCAGGGTTTTGCAGCATGGGATAGTAAATGCTTGTCAATCTGCAGGAGGTTACAGAAATAGGAAGGGACAAGCGAATTGTAAACAAAGATAAGGATTTTAAATTTGAGACATAGTTAGACCAGGAGCTAGTGAATTTCAGTGTGTACAGGGCAATCTGGCAATGGGATTTGGAGTGAATAAAGATATAAACCGCAGAGTTTTGGATGAGCACAAATTTATGTAGGATGGAGATTGAGGTGCCCACCAGGAGATAATAGGAATAGTCCAGGGTAACAAAGGCATAATTGAGGGTTTTAACAATCCAGACCAGCTGATCAGAGGTGAGAGTAACATATACCCCAGTATGCTCGATTTTAATGAAGAAAAATAATATTTTGCCTCTTTCTTTACAGGCGGTAGGTGACCCAGCCACTCAACATCCCATATGCACAAAAAACTACACAAAGCTAACAGAGAAGTGACAATCTGCACAAAAGAAGCCCAAATTGAAACAGCGTTGTGTAGCTAAGTGCAGGGACAACTCTGTTTAGATCTATGCATCAGTATTTAGCTGTAAACAAGTTTTAAAGAGAAAAGTGAAATCAGTTGATTAATCACAAGTTATTTACAATTGATAAGCACAAACATCTGTTTCTGCTTGAAGTTTCCATTGCCAAGACCTGGGGTTTCAAGCAAAAGCAGAACGTTTGGCACTGAAACATTGTTCCTCAAGTACTGTGTTTGCTGAAACAAATGGGGCCAAGCACAGACAAGCGTTGATTCTAGCGGCCAGTGAGCAACTCTGAAAAGGAGAGCTGGCTTTTTGATGAGAATTTGTGGATATTGTAACAAACTGTAAGCAGGAGTGTAAGCTGATAAGGTTAGATGAAGGCATAGGGAGGTAGCTAATGTTCTGCATTAACCCATTAGGCCGAATAGCCTGTTTCTGCACTGTACAGTTCTGAGTAGCAGGTTAATTGTTTCAGTACATAGACTTTTAAAGTCCAAAAGAAGGCCATCTGACCCATGTCAACACTGGCTCCTGAAAGAGTTACCTAGCCAGTCAGTCCCTATCCCCGGGCCTGTCATAAAGTCATCACTGTTTTACTGGGCTGCTCTCACATTAGATGGTTTAACCTGACAGTCACCACACCTCAGCTGAAGGGATTCTTTGAGGACAAAAGTCCTTCATGGTAACCAGTGCAAGGATTGAACCCACGCTACCAGCGTTGCTCTGTGTTGCAAATCAGCCTTCCAGCCAAGTGAGCTAGCCAACCCCACTTTACACAGAGGCAAATCTACGTTGAATGTGATGTGATTAATTGGAAACACAGGTGATTATTGGTGGACATTAGATGAACAAGTATTACAGGTGATTTAATGTGGGTAAAAAGCTGTTCAGTTGTGTGTGATAACACTTCTTGATTGAATGGCAATAGTGGAAAATTCTGCTGCCTCAGAGCACCAGGGAGCCCAATTCAATTCCAGTCTCAGGCGGCTGTCTGTGTGGAGTTTTCACATTCTCCCTGTGTGTGTGTGGGTTTCCTCTGGGTGTTCCAGCTTCCTCCCACAGTCCAAAGATGTGCTGGGTAGATGGACTGGCTATGCTAAATTGCCCATAGTATCCAGGGATGTGCAAGTTAGGTGGATTAGCCAAGGGAAATGCAGAGTTACAGGGATAGGGTAAGGGTTAGGTCTGGATAGAATGCTCTTGGAGGCTTGGTGTGGACTCAATGGGCCAAATAGTCTGCTTTCACACTGTAGGAATTCTATGATTCTAAACATAATCTAGGGCTCATGTGATGCAGTGGTGGTAGTAGGCAATTTGAGGATGGATAAGCTAGAGATGACCAGCCTCTGCTTTGATGTTTTTCACTGTCTACAGCCCCACTGTTTCGGGAAACAAAAACTGTGCAACTATGAGAAAGATTTACCTCACTGATTCAAAAGTGTTATATCCTTAAATTAATGCTATGATAAATAATGGATGGCTGAAATTGGCTCGAACAACTCAACCTACATCGCAGACCAGAGCTGTCAAACCCATTTTAGATGATGGGCTTAATCGAGTATCCTGGCACCAGCACTCACTATATTTAACAAAGGTTATTAAAATAGAAATATATAAATTGTTATGCTCTACATGATCATTCAATCGCTTCACCCTCCACTTCATCTTGATGATTATTCCGCTCTCTGCCGGCTACTGATGTGAGTCTGGGGCCATTCCTAACACACAAATCCATATAAGGTCTATGGGCTGGGTGAAGCTGTTCTGTGGATCACATGCTTGACAAAACATTCTGACTGGGATCGAATGTGTTAGTCTATGCACTGGACCTAAACAAGCAGAGACTTTGACCTGAGTAATGACCAGGTCCTTGTACAAATGAATTATCTGTGCAATCTCAACCATTTCTTTACGCATTATATGTAGCATAACAACTAAATTATAATAAATTATCATCTTTGATCGGAATTCATGTCTTTGTCTGAATTTTCTTTCCTTTTGCTAAAATCCTACGTTTTTGATTTAGTGGAAAATCAAAATGGCTTTGTCAATCATATTATGGACCAGACTAGACCTCCTGAAAATATTTTAAGAAGGTAACGTAGAGCCTAACTTTTTCTTATTTTACAGGTAGGTATGAAGTGCACGTTCCAAATATAATGTGTCTGGTCAAACTACTCGTTTAATTTATTTAAACACTAGTTAAAACAAAAGTAAAAGGAATTTAGAATAGCTTAACTATTTGAAAACTTAACTGAATAATAGATACAGTACCGATTATTATTAACTGTTCCAATATAGTAACATTCCACAAACACACCCCTTAGCATTGGCAAATTCAGACACAGATTCTTACAAGGGGTTCTCCAATCTAGGAGGAAAAAAAAACAAGAGAAATTTCAGAGAAAGTAGCAGCTAGGATTCATTCATTGAAGGATCTAGGCCCGAAACGTCAGCTTTCCTGCTCCTATGATGCTGCTTGGCCTGCTGTGTTCATCCAGCTCTACACCTTGTTATCTTTAGAGACACCAATGGCTTTGGATGCTACTGAAAAAAACCAAACCCAGAAATCTGGATCTGTGAGAGCTGACTACCCCATTCAGACTGCTTCCATTGTTCCAACTTTTATTAAACAAAAACCCAAGGCCTCACAAGTTGTTTACTTGACTCATATTCAGCAGCCAGTTTGGTACCTCTGCCTTACAGCCTCTCTTCAAAACAAAAACTAGGACAAAATAACATTTTGAAGTGATAACACCGAAACAAGATTTACAATTGGGCAGCAATCAAATTGCCATTAAGATCTTATTTAATTGAAATAAAGTTTTTACAGATTCAACAGGGCAAATAAAGGAGGGGTGTTTCCCCTGTCTGGGGGCATCTAAAATCAGGAGAAAGTCTCAGAATAAGGGGCAGACTATTAGCACTGAGATGAAGAGGAAGTTTGTAAATCATTGGAATTCTCCATCGCAGAGCGCAATGGATGCTCTATCACTGAGTATATTAATGTCAGAGATCAATAGATGACTAGATATTAGAGGTATGAAGGGAAATGGAGATAGGTGGGGGAAATGGTGTTGAGGTGCAAGATCAGCTGCGATCTAGTTGAATGGTGGAGCAGGCTCGATGAGCCAAATGACCTATCCCTGCTACTATGTCCCAATATTCCTTATAAAAGTTGTGATGTAATCCTTTTAGAGATTGAAGAATTGCCTAATATGTTCCCTGACCCATTTTAACGGAGCTGATTTACTCCAGGTCAATAATATGAGAGGGGAAAGGGATCGATTTTCTTAAATTCATCTGAGGGGGCAATTAAATTAAGAAACACAATGAAGTTGTGGCACATAAACAGTGGCACAGGAAAGGAAGAACTGGCTTAAAAACCTTGGATATGGGACTGAAGGGGGAAGGTAGGTATGTACAGTGAGGTACAAATGAGCCATTATCAAATGGAACAGCAAAACAGGCTTGAGAAGCTGTATTCTGATCATGGCCTCTGCATGTCTCCAACACTTTTTATTGCATCAACTATTATTATCTAGACAGGAGTGACAGACAATATACACACAGCAAGCACTACAAACAGCAATCAGATAAATAAGCAGCAAATCAGATTTTAGTGACTGATTGAGAGGTAAACATTGGCCAGAATGCACCTGCTCTGCTTTGAATAGATCTTTTAGATCCTCCTCAGAATGACTAGACAGATGGGCCTTGATCAACATTTAACCCAGGGCTCCAGGATGCTATGTTCCCACAGCACTACACTGAAATGTTGGTGGTCTTTCTGGAACTTAATTTGAACCTTTCGAGCAAGAGCAGAGAAGTGTTATCACTGAGTGATCATAACATTCAAAACCTTGAAGTTAGAAAGTAATGTAAAAAGTCCTCATTTGCTATCAATGAATGGTAAATGACTTCCTGATGCGTAACATTTTCATTAAAATAATGCTGTATTAAAACAGTGGACAAAGGAGTGTCATTTAAGATGGTTATCCCTTGATCTCAATGTTTAAGGAAGGATTTGCTTGCTGAATGGTGTACTCTTGCACTTATTTCTTATATTCCTCAGGTCAAAAACCATTAGACCTGGTGCCATAATATAAATAAAACTAAGAACTGTTGATGTTGAAGATCTGAAACAAACACAGAAAATGCTGGAGAAGCTCAGCAGATCTGGTAGCATCTGTGGAGTGAGAAACAGAGTTACAATTTCAAGTCGAGTGACCCTTCTGCAAAATGATTTTAAAAGTGGTGGATGCAAGTGGGGAGGAGGTGCACAAGGAGAGAAAAAAAAACTTGAGTCAAGACAGGAAGAGATTAGTCCAGTGGAACAGGGACAGGCAGAAACTGGCCAGCCCTGTCTGTGGATTTGTTTTTAAGATTTGCAGATATAACTGGAAAGTCTAATTCTAGACCAGGTGCCAGTTAGACTTTGTTTAGAGCCCTTTTAGCGCTGTGGCAGGAAACTTGATTGTAAACACTCAAACGTGGAGCGGCAAGAAGGGTGGGCTTCTAAGTGGGAAGGGGCAACATGTTCAAAAACCCTGAGGGCGTTTTAAAAGTGATGATAACATGCAGGCACAGTGGGAGCTAAATTGTTTGGGCTGGGGGTTTCAGTTCAGACTGGCAAAGGGAGCACTGCCCACAGACAACTAATTATACTTTTAGCCAGACTGATTCTTTAATATAGGGCATGTGCACGTGTGTGTGTGTGCGCGCATGTGTGTGCGTGTGTGTGAGATGAAGCCATTGATTATTTATTTCTGAATTACAATTCTAGTCATATTTATTGGAAAACAGTTGGAGGCTGCGGCTATTGCCTGGCTTGAGCGTGCAGCATCAGATGTATGAATCAGAGGCAACAACAAAGACTTTCTTAAACTAGAGGTTACTTCAATTTAAACAGAAGTCCCCCAAAATAACAACTGTGAGATTGATGCTATCTATTTCCACTTTCAAAAGGCTAGTGATAAAATATCAGATAATAGGCTTGTTAGCAAAGTTAATGCACATGGGATTAAAGGAACTCGCAGAATGGATACAAAATTGACTCATGGACAGAAAGCAGAGTGGAGTGATGAAGGGTTATTTTAAGATTGGAAGGAGGGATACAGTGGTAACTGATCTCCAGTAGTCAATATTAGGGCCACTTCTATTTTGGATACACATCAATGGCCTGATCTTGGAAATATATAGCATCATTTCAAAATGATTGGAGAACTAGTCTTTACAGGGCACTTAGGACTACAGCTATCTAGACTACACCTCCTCTCACCCACCTTCCTGCAAGAATGCAATCCCTTACTCCCAATTCCTCCACCTCCGCTGTGTCTGCTCCCAAGATGGGGCATTCCACTCCTGCACATCCCACATGCCCTCCTATTTCAAGGACCGCAACATGCCCCCTTTGGTGATCAAAAACACTCTTGACCGCGTCTCTTGCATTTCCCACACCTCTGCCCTCACATCCCCTCCCCCCAACAAAAACAAAGACAGAATACCCCTTGTCCTCACATACGACCCCACTAACCTCCGTATCCAACATATCATTCTCCGCCACTTCCGCTACCTACAATCCAACCCCACATGAGGTTACGGGGGAGGCAATGGCCTAGTGGTGTCATCGCTGGACTGTTAATCCAGAGACCTAGACAACATTCAGGGGACCCGGGTTCGCATCCTGCCATGGCAGATGGTGGAATTTAAATTCATAAAATATCTGGAATTAAGAACCTAATGATGACTATGAATTCATTGCTGATTGTTGGAAAAACCCATCTGGTTCACTAATGTCCTTTATGAAACGAAACTACCATCCTCACCTGGTCAGGCCTACATGTAACTCCAGACTCAAAGCAATGTAGTTGACTCTAAACTGCCCACTGGGCAATTAGGGGTGGGCAATAAATGCTGCCTAACCAGTGATGCCCTCATCCCGTTAAAGAATAAAGAAAAAAACCAAATATATATTTCCCTTTCACCACTATCTGCCATTTGAAGGGACCACTCTCTCCGCGACTCCCTTGTCTGC